GATGGCGGCGGGTGGCGCGCGTGGCGGGGCGGCGCTCCGGCCGCGGGTGCTGATCGTGGGCGCGGGGCTGGCCGGGCTGGCGGCGGCGCAGCGGCTGCACCTCGGCGGCATCGGGCGCTTCGCCGACCTGCGCTTGCTGGAGGCCTCGCGCCGCGCCGGAGGCCGCCTCCGCGCCGGGCAGCTCGGTAAGGCTGCGGGGCGGGCGGCCGTCGGGATACTCTGCCCCCGAGCCGGATCTGCGCAGGCCGCCCCTTTGCTGCGCTGCTCTGAGATGCTGCGCTGTGCGGTGCGCGGAAAGGACGATTGCCCGGGGGGTCGGGCGTGCGGGGTGGGGGAGGCCGACGTTTCCCGTGGGGCGTCGCGAAGGCCGCTTAGGGCCGAGGCCCCGGGCTCCGGAGGCGGCGCGGCGGCCGCTGCTTTCGCGCCGGGCCCAGTTCCCTGCATCTCCATTCCAGCCACCCAGGGGCTGGCGCAGGGGCAGCCTCCCGCCGACACCAAAGCACCTCCTGCCCTGCCGGGTCCGTGGGGCACGCCAGGCAAGAAATGGCCCCGATCTCCTGTGTTTCTCTCCCCGTTCCTCCTCCCAGGTAACCAGAAGGTGGAGCTGGGCGCGCACTGGATCCATGGCCCATCCCCCGCGAATCCCGTCTTCCGGCTGGCCGCAGAGCACGGTCTGCTGAGCGAGGAGGCACTGAACGAGGAGAACCAGTCGGTGGAGGCAAGTGACCTCCCACCCGGGCCCTGGTCCTTTTATGGTAGCCGCGGTGGCTTGCTCAGCCCCAGCCTGGTGGCCTCCACAGAGGACTTCTTCGATGCCCTGTTGGAAGAGGCACGCCAGTTTGCCCTGCTCCTCAGGGACAAGGGACCCCCTTCTGTGCCTAGCCTGGGCCAGTACCTGAAAGGCCAGATCGCCCAGAGGGCAGCCAAGGAATGGCCGGAGGCGGAGGCTCAGCGGCACCTGCGGCTGGCCATACTCAATGTGCTCTTCAAGCTGGAATGCAGCGTGTGCGGCTGCCACAGCCTGGATGAGGTGGCACTTGGGCCCTTTGGCGAGTACACCATGTTGCCTGGTCTTGACTGCACCCTTCCCAAGTAAGTCCTTGTGGAGTATTGTAAACCATCGCTGGGTTTTCCTGGAAAGATGGTACAGCGTTGTTTTCAGTCAATGCAGATTTCTCTTCTGCGGGTCTGTGCTCCAAGTCTGAACTGAGCGGTATATGGTGGGGTGGGTGTTTAGATCGCTGCTGAGACAGTGCGCGTACTAGGTGGCCTAATTCCCTCTTTCCTTTCTTCCTCTTAGTGGCTATGAAAGCCTTGTGGAGTGCATAGTGGCATCGCTGCCCGAAGAGAGCTTACTGTTTGATAAGCCAGTGAAGACCATTCATTGGGGAGGCTCTTATTTGGAAGAGGCAACTCCAGGCCGGCTCTTTGATGTTCAGGTGGAATGTGAAGATGGCGAGAAGATCGTAGCAGATCATGTTCTTATCACAGTGCCTCTAGGTGAGGCTTTCTGTTTTTCTCCATATTTAAATGGCTTCCATATCATTTCTTTGCTGTTGTAATTGCCCTCCCACCCACTCTACCATTTTGCAGTACCAGCAATTCTGATTTTGCTCTGTGGTTGCAGTGTGTGCTGCCAGAGTTGGTGGCAGCTGGCTAGTACTGAGTCAGGAGTGAGCTGTAGCAGATCTGTGCAAGATCTTGCAGATCCGTAAGGCAGGAGCCCTCCCAAGTATGGAGCAATGTTATCCATTCAGCTGTTCAGACCAGGACACCCTTGTAAGCTTACCTTTCCAGTGCTTCCAGTTGTGTTCCGCAATTTCTTTAGCAGATAAGGGAGGGGAGAGTTCTCTGCAGAGCCTGCTTGCTGCTCCTGGATTAGAGCAGGCACACTTTAAAGATGATCATGTTATTATTGTTGTTGCCCTTCTTTTCATTTCTGTTTTTCTCTTGCTGATAGTTTAGCCATTGACTGAAAGGAAAGGATGTGAGTTATGCTTTCCTTCATCTACAGCTTGTGCAGCTTCTTCCTGGAGTTTCAGAATGGGAGACAGGGACTCATCTTTTCCATTGCTGCTCATCTTCCCACAGCAGATGCCAGATCGCAGCCAGATCAGTGGAGATCAAAGGAAGGGGCAGCACTAATGCTAAAATAATAATAACTTCCTCCCCTCCCCTTCAAATACTGTGAACTCCAAAGGTCCAGAACATTTTTCAGTGTTTTCTGAAATGTGTGCATACCAAGTCCAGAATACATTTCCCAAATTCTAATCTCTGCTGTGTTGTATTTTTCTCACTAGGCTTCCTCAAAGAACATCATGAGACCTTTTTTTGCCCTCCGCTTCCATCCCAGAAGATTGCAGCAATAAGGCGTCTGGGCTTTGGGACAAATAATAAAATCTTTTTGGAATTTGAGGAGCCATTCTGGGAGCCAGATTGTCAAGCAATTGAGATCGTATGGGAAGACGAATCACCTTTGGTACAGCCATCCATGGATTTGCAGGCTGTCTGGTTCCAGAAGATTGCTGGCTACGTTGTTCTTCAGCCACCAGAGAGGTAGATGGGAAAGAAAAGGGAACCACCTGGAAAGGGTCTTGGAATCAGCTACAAGTGAAATAAGAATCAACAGTGTGATGCGGTTGCTTTAAAAAAAGAATAGATGAATGAAGTTTTACATTGTATCAAACCAATGTATGATTTGGTATAGTTCCTGAATCGTACAGTGTCTAGTTCTGGATACTACCTTTCAAGAAGGATGCAGATAACAAGTTCAGAGACAGTGAAGATGCCCAGGGTATTAAAAAGAAAGTCCCGTGACAAAAGGTTGCAGAACTGTGTTTAGTCTGAGATTGAAGGGGGAAGTGCTTGCTGTGCTTTTTGAGTACCCAAAGGGCTGTCGTGAGCAGCAGCCACAATCTGTTCTCCATCCGAGACCAAGACCAAGCGAGAGGAAGGCAACTGAGGGAAAGCTGCCAGACCATGGCACCCACTGCTTAGGGAAGTGACAGACATTTGTCAGGAATGCTTTAAATCGGATTCTTGCCCTGAGCAAGGGATTGGACTTGCTGGCCTTGTTTGCGATTCCAAGTGAAGACATCATACATTGATGGGCTCTGTGTGTCAATAGAACTTGAGCTAGGGGTAAGTGGCCAAGAAAGAGATCGTGGGGTTGTGGAGGACAGCTGGTGGGTATCATCCTACTGTGAAAAAGTTCTGTTTCAGAAAAGGATTTGTAAATTAAACTGCCAATATCATGCTGCTGGTACGAGAAATCCATGGTGTGACCAGACATGGCACATCCCTTCCTGGCTCAGTTGTGATCATGTGATGTTTGGCACAGCGAGAACACGCCCCATTGGCTCAGTTGTGATCATGTGACATTCGGCATCACGTACTAGTATTGCAAGACATTGCTCGTTTATCAAGTTAAAATTTATTAGAAATGTTTGCTCATCTTGCGAAACACTTGCAGAACAAGTTAACTCGCAATCCTAGGTTTTATTGTATGCTGTGTTGTTGTGAAATTGGAGACACTTCAAATAAATTTTCTAGACAAATTTCTAAATCAAGGCTAGACGAAGAGAATATTGGTTGGTACCCATATCTGAAAAGTTGTGTCCAGTAGAGGTAACAGCATGAGATCTTAAATTCTAATTGACAAAATCTTGAGCTAGCTAACCCTAATCAGGACAGCAGTAATCAGGAAAGTGTCCCAAAGGAACTCCAGTATAAAGCCACAGAATGGTTAACAATCATGTGTAACATCAAAATGAGAGTACATCTAATTTTGTGATTTTAATGGAAACAGCTAATATAGCACTATTGGTTTTTTTAATACAAAGAAGTACTTTGTACAAAGTGCAAAGAATTGGGCTATACTCTGCTTGATATTAATTGATATAAATTATAATTAAAAATAAAGCTGGTATTAACTGTTCTGTCTAACGAAACAAGAGTTTTGTCTTGTGAAACATTGTGCAGCGTGGTGGCCCAGTGAGCTGGACCAGAATGGCAAGCATTTGTACAGCCTTGCCGTGTGGACTAAGCTGCTGTTTGTCTTTCATATGCAGGTACGGGCACATCCTCTGTGGCTTCATTGCTGGAAAAGAATCTGAATTCATGGAAACACTCACAGATGCTGAAGTTCTTACTGCCTTAACCCAAGTATTTCGTAAAGCAACAGGTTGGTATTTGTTCTAAGCTAGTCTTTTTGAAAAGGCTAGATGATAGAAAAAAGAATTCATGTATATTTGTGCTAAGAGCAGCAGCCTAAATTTTCCAGAATGTCTGTAATTCTGTGGAAGTGTATAGCAATGTTGTTCATCATCTTCTGTTACCCCACCTTACTTTGAGAATTAGGATTTTGCTGTTAAAGCTAAATTATTCTGTGCTTTTATGAATGCACAATGAAGGAGAAATAACAGGAGTTTGGGAAGTGAATTAGTTACCATAGCAAAAAGATAGTGTTCTGGTAACCTTTCCAGGATGGTCCTCAGTTATATGAGGGCATGAAGCCAGGTATGGACGGGTTTCAGTCACACAACAGTTAAATGCAAGTCCTTGCTTTGTGACAGTAAACCAAGGACACTTCCCCCTTGAAATTGTCAGAAATTTTGTTGAGACCTCAGTCTGCACAGGCATTGAAGCAGAAGTAGCTATATGTCAAAGGAAGGGGGTTCCAGAACCTTAGAACACCATTTTAGCCCAGGTTTCTTAATCATTGCTCCACCTTGTCCTGACTTCTTTAGGGAAATGGAACCACAGCTCTGCTGTTCTGCACTATTAAAACGCTTAGCTTAAAACTGGAGCTAGTGTCCAAAATACCTACCAGCTCTTTGTGTGTTTCGATCAGGGAATCCACATCTGAAGCCTCCCAAGAGCATTCTGAGATCCAAGTGGCACAGTGAGCCCTACACCAGAGGTTCCTACAGTTATGTAGCAGTTGGTAGCTGTGGAGAGGACATTGACGCACTTGCTCAGCCACTTCCTGAGGAAGCCTCTTATTCCAAGGTAACTTGCTGGGGGCTCCCAGAGCCTCTCTTTCTACTCCCACAAGCCTCGGTCTTCTGGCACCCGAGCAGGAGCTGGCTTCCTCAGAGCGTGTGTGTCCCCATTTTTGCCACAGCACCCATTCCTTGGCTAGACTTGGGCCGATGTGTCATTCTCCAAGCACGGCTAACCACTGTTGTCTCTTTCGTCTTGTTGCAGCCCTTGCAGGTTCTTTTTGCAGGAGAAGCCACACACCGCTCATTCTATTCTACCACGCACGGGGCCTTGTTATCTGGCTGGAGAGAAGCAGATCGCCTCATTGCCCTTTATGGGTCCCCATAGCTCCTTTCTGCTGATGGAACTCTTCTTCAGGAATTATGAAGTGATAATTCAGCATTAGTATTACGCTGCATTAATATCTCATCTTTCTTCCTCTTACAAGGAACATAAGTGGGGGTGGGGTCACCAGGTTCTCTTTGTTTTTCTTGGAAGAGGAAGAAGAGCAGGAATGTAGTTCTCGCCCAGTAGACCTTCGTCATCAGTTTGGTAAATGGCTTGGGACCACAATACTTGGTGCAGCATCAGCCTGCTGGGACGCTGCACTTGACATCTGAGGCCTTCCTCTGGGTGCCCCCTCCAAACGAGGCTTGGACTAGAGCAGCAAGGAGGAGGAGAGCTGCTCAGTGGCGGGCCTCTATCCCCACTGAGCTCTGCCTGGCGCCAAGTGTTGCTCTTTAAATGGCAGGTTAAAGCTGCTGTCCTCACTGAGGTGTTCAGGGGCATCTAGGGATACTGACCAGCGTGATGCAGCACCTGTGTGAGCTGCTTTTAGTCGGTCTGGTTTGTAGCAAGGATCGTTTTAATCATGAGATTGTTCTTTAATTTTGTATATTAGGCAACTTTACACTTTATTGTACTATGGTCTTGTGTTTATGAATTCTAGTAAAGCAGAGAGCTCTGGCTATATGGAAAATAAATAAATAAAATTAAAATACTTGGGTCCTCCATCTGGCAATATAGAAATCAATCAATCAATTAATATTAAAATGCTTGGGTCCTCCCATCTTGCGTTGGCCGTTGGAAGCGGTGATGGCAGAAGTCATGGCTAGTCGTACCTCCCTGATGTGCTGGGGATAGCATTCACTTTTCCATCGTGATGGATGACATTCTGATAAGCCAATTAGCAAAAAGTGGACTAGATAGAAAAATGATTAGGTGGGTTCCAAATTGGTTGCTGAATCGCACATGAGCACTCCTCAATGGCACCTTCTCAGACTGGAGGCAGGTAACCGGAGGGGCGCCGCAGGGTCCAGTCCTGGGCCCCGTGCTCTCCAACACCTTATTAATGATTTGAATGAGGAAGTACAAGGAAAGACAGTCAAATCTGCAGACTATACAAAACTGGGTGGAATAGTGAACAGTCTAGAAGACAGAATGAAGATCCAGGGTGATCTTGATAAACCTGAACACTGGGCTGAAAGCAACAGAATGAAATTCACCTAGGAAAGAGAAACCAAAGGCATCGATACAAGATGGGGAATACATTGTTCAGCAGAACTGAAAAGGAAAAAGATCTTGGAGTAATTGTGGACAACAGGCTAAATATGAGCCAACAATGTGATGAAGCATCAAAAAGGGCAAATGCTATTAATAGAAGCATTTCTTCCAAATCATGAGAAGTAGTTCTCTTCTACTCCTCACTAGTCAGACCTTATCTGGAATACTGTGTCCAGTTCTGTACACTAAGATTTAGGAAAGATGCACAAAAATCAGACAGCGTCCAGAGGAGGGCAACAAGAATGATCCAGGGTTTGGAAACCCTGCCCCATGAGGAGAGACTGAGAGAACTGGGCATGTTCAGTCTTGAGAAGTGAAGAGTGAGGGAGGTCATGTTCTCCCTCCATAAGTCTCTCAACAGGTGTCACAAAGAGGAAGGCCATGATCTCGTCCTGCTGGTACCAGAGTACCTGGGACAGGGAATCGACAAGTCAAGCTGCGTCAACCCAGATTCAGGGTGGACATCAGGAAAAGCTTCCTCAGTGTCGCAGTGTTGTGCCTAACGACCCGGAGGCATCTTAGCATGTGCAAGAGAGACAGAAACTCCCAGTCAGAATCGGGCTTTGGAGCAAGATTTCTACTTGGAGCCCATGGCACAACCCCCCCCCCCCCCACACACACACACAGCCTGACTCTGACAAAGTTGTTATCTGGCCTTCACTCTCTGCCCAGCAGGCCGAGGGATGCCATGGAGGATGCCCAGCTGAGGAGAAGACCGGTGCTGGAGCCAATTAGAAGAGAGGCAAAGTCAAAGAAGGACGGAGAGGAGTTTATCTGGCCCCCAGAAGGAGGGACTTGCTCACAGGGTTAAACGTATGGAATAAATCTGAGATGGGTCAGAAAGGAGGGGGCGACTGGCTCCTGTGCTATTCGTCATCTGTGCATCTTGAAGTTAAGAATAAAAGGCTTTAAACTTATTGCCTGTATCTGTGTGAGTAATTAGGGAGAGTGCTTTGGCCTCACGACACAGAGCAAGATGGCAGTGGAACCAGCTGGCTGGAGGCGGGGGGCTCGCCCACACTGGGGACACTCAGAAAGGAACCAGACCGTCCTTGGAAAGGGATGCTGTAAACGCGTCCTGCAAGAGCAGGGGGTTGACCCTGATGGCCTTTATGGCCCATTTGAACTCTTCTCTGATTCCTGGCCCAGAAACGGAACTTTCTGCTCTAAAAGACTCAGTACATGCCAGAGGAACACAGCTGCATTGTTCACCTTGTTTGCGAAAAGGCAACTGTTACATATTTAAATTGGAGCCTTATATAAAAGTGTGGAAGAACCAATCCCTCTCCCACCTGTCAAAATAGGTGCTGTAAGAGAACAGTGGCGGCGGCAGTTATGTTTAGGTGCATTCCCAGCACTGGGGCTCAAGGCAGCTTCCACATTAAAGGCTTACACAATTAAGACATGAATAGAAATGCACTTAAGTCGATATAAGGCAGCTAGAGCTTTTAAATAGTTTAAGTGCCACAATGGAGGCCCAGTGGCGTAGTGGCCTGACGTTGCTGGCTGTGCCAACCAGAAACGCTCAACGCTCCGGTGGCTGCAACCCCACAGCACATGACGGAGGGAGCACCTGCTCCCAGCCCTAGCTCCTGCCCACTCAGTGGATACTGGGTCACGGAAAAAAGGCCAGCTGTGTTCGTGAGAAGCGGGCAGCAGGCGCTGGACCTGCCCAGAGGCGAGGCGAGGCGAGGCGGGATCAGTGGCAGAAGCCCGGGCGTGCCAAAGGAAATCCAAGCACCACTGGTCTGCCTGCGTGTGGAGCTAGTTCGCCCCATGCGGTGCCCCCTGGATAAGCATGCATGTGTGACCAGAAGTAGCACTTTGTAAGCAGCCAAACATCTACTATGCGGTCGCACTGTAGACTCCGGGCTAAATTGTATCATCACCATCCACTAAATTAATAAAAGCACCACAATTAAAGCAGCCACAAAAACAGTAAAAACACTATACAACAAAACTAGTTCAACGCAATCTCACGGGTCAAGATCATTTCCACAGGTCTGCAGGAACAGAAGCTTGCTAGCCTGCTGAAAACTCAACAAGGAGGACACTCATCCAGCCCCCCCTGGGCGGAAGTCCCTGAGCTGTGGGGCAGCCCTATGACACAATCCCCCCAAGTGTACTTCTGAAGGATGTGGAACCAAGAGAAGAGCCTCCCCTCAACCATACATGGTACCGAATGGCACATAGGAAGAGAGGAGGAGTTTTGACAACTGATCCTGACCTGTAGCGAGCACTTTGAATTTTGCATGGGAAAAGATTGTGGGTTGGTGAAGTCATTTCAAGAAAGGAGTTCTGTGCCTTCTGTAGCCAGCTCAAGTTACCAGACTGGCAGAAGGTACCTTCACCAAATGAAGCTTCCAAACACTCTTCAGAGAAAGCCGCTCGTACAGGATGTTAAAGTGGTCAGGGTAAGGGTTAGGGATGTGAACCAGGGTAGGGTTAGGGTTGGGGAAAAAAAGTGTCCTGCCATGATTTTCATGGCTGGAATGGATTAAGAATGGGCAGATATGATGAGCTGTGCAAAAAAAGCTTCTCAACGAGGGCTTTTTCAAAATCTCCCATTCCAATGGTATTTTACCCCTCTATTAGGGTTAGGGGTGTGCACCAGGATAGGGTTAGGGTTAGGAAAACGAGGTCTCCTGGCATCATTCTGATGCTTGGAATGAGTCGCGAATGGGCGGAAATGATCTGTTGTGCAGAAAAAGCTGCTCAAGGAAGGCTTTTTCTAAAAAGCCTCTTCCAGTGGTACCTCCCCCCTCTATTAGGGTTAGGGGTGTGCACCAAGCTAGGGTTATGGTTAGGAAAACTAGGTGTCTTGGAATCAATCTGATGCTTGGAATGAGTCGCGAATGGGCGGAAATGATGTGTTGTGCAGAAAAAGCAGGTCAAGGAAGGCTTTTTCTAAATGGCCTCCTCTAGTGGTACATCCCCCCCTCTGTTAGGCTTAGGGGTGTGCACCAGGCTAGGATTAGGGTTAGGAAAACGAGGTGTCTTGGCATCATTCTGATGCTTGGAATGAGTTCCGAATGGGCAGAAATGATGTGTTGTGCAGAAAAAGCTGCTCAAGGAAGGCTTTTTCTTAATAGCCTCCTCCAGTGGTACCTCCCCCCTCTGTTAGGCTTAGGGGTGTGCACCAGGCTAGGATTAGGGTTAGGAAAACGAGGTGTCCTGGCATCATTCTGATGCTTGGAATGAGTTGCGAATGGGCGGAAATGATGAGCTGTGAAGAAAAAGCCACTCAAGGATGGCCTTTTCTAAATGGCCTCTTCCAGTGGTACTTCCCCCCTCTTATTAGGGTCAGGGTTAGGGTTAGGGTTTTTTTTTTTTAGGTTTTATGTATTTTTTATTAAAATCTTTCTACTTCAAAATTACTACAACCGAACGCAAAAATCTGTAACAAACATCAACTTCAATCTCTTACTAATACAATTTGTCTCCTAACTAACTTAACTCTAATACATATATACACCTATCACTACAGTTCAATATCCTTCCTTATGTACAATTTGAACAGTCCTTGTATTTGTATCTAGTTGCTTTTTTTTTTAACTCAAACATTATTATGTAATAGCTGGAGTGCCATCAGCCATCCACGGCCAGAATTTCTTCCACTTT